TATTATAATAATATATTATTATATATTATTAACTCATTCAACAAAATACATGCGTGTCAGGGCAGTTCACCTGGTATTATGGGCTTTGTGCATGTGTAACTCTTTTGGAAAGCCAGTGAGGACAGCCAACTCAAACTCTGTTGGGAAGCCAGTGAGTACACCCAACTCAAACTCTGTTGGAATGCCAGAGAGTATAACCTCCACTCATTGGAGTGGTGCCAATCTAGCATTGTAACAACCATAATGGCAGCTGCTGATACCAAAAGGAAGTGTCAACAGTATTTACAATATTATTATTATTAGTATTAATATATGAAGCGGAATTTACATTATTTTCATACAACAAATGTTTGGGGGTCAATTGTGAAACCTCATTATGAAATGAAGTTTTTGGGGACCACTTCTTTAAACAAGCTGTACTGTAAACAAATGAAAAGCGAAGAGGTGATGTTAAAATAGGCCTTCTTTCCCTTTTAAATCTGCCTTCTTGGTCACAAATACCCAGACTGTGGGGTTGTTATGCTGAAACACTGGGAAATACCACAACACATTCTTTTGCTGCATCTTGTTCAAGGAACAAAGTGGACATCCTTCCTTGTCCAGTCTGTGGCGCTGTTATCCTCCTCCCTATGGCAAGGTAACCAGGCAACGCTGAAATACATTGTGTGCCCTGAATAGCCACAGTGTCTGAGGAGGAATCTTACATCCCTGGCCCTCCCTTCTTATTTCACTGCTGCGTGTCAGACTAGTGACAATTATCTGCTGCGGCTGGCAACACAGAATCACTTGTTGAAGACCGCATTAGGAAAGAATCGTTTTTGCCTTATTATCCTAATCCATGTGCACAATTCCAAAGAAGAGAAAATTTGGTGCATTTTAAAAATATTCTGTCAGATTGCAGGTTTAAGGGCCGATTCACTCCTTAGCGTTATGCTAAAGCAGTGGTTCTCAACCTGCGTAACCTCAGGACCCACATTTGTCCTTGGTCACTAAGTTGCGACCCAAGGTGTACGGCAATGGAACATAGGCATTGCGCTAACGCACATTCTGGTGCAGTGGATTGAACTGTGGGCGGTAGGTGTGCTTGGGGTGTCATTCAAATGAATGGCAATGCAACGCACCTACCACACCAGAACGCGTAGTAGGTGCGATTTGCATTGTACAGTGCACTAATCGCACAGGACTGTTCGATTAACTCTCTGTACTAGTGTAAACGGGCCCTCAAAAACACTGACAGACACACAACCACGGACACAATCTCACAGACACACATACACTCCAAGATCAAAGATTTTTAAGATCCTCCCAGTCTCCCTACCTTATGCGAACTAGAGTGGATCCTCACTCTGGGGTCCAGTGTGGGATGCTGTGCATTGCTTGCACAACTGACTTGCGTGCCCTGTAGAGGTGCGAGGAACCAAGGCCTGACATCGCTCCGGTCCAGGCACCACCACAGGACATGCGAGGAAGCTGTAAGCAATGAATGGAGCTCTCTCACAGCCATAGCTGCTACCCACCCCACCTCAAGCTATAACGCAGCGCCGAGCCGCATAGGAATGGCTGATTGGCATGAGAACTGACAGTGCTGAGCTAGGGGGAGGCTGAAAAAAAGGCCTCTCGCCTAGAAAAGTGGAAGGCACATGGCGACCCACTGAACACGGGGTCACGGCCCCCCAGTTGAGAACCAAGGTACTAAAGGCACGCTATCCATGGGTTTAGCGCACACCATCACAGAGTTCAATGCGCCACATGCTAAGTGCTCTGGTAGGTTGCATTGCCATTCATTCTGAATGGCAGTTCCCGGTAGGAGTATGCAGTGCTACTGCAGTACTGGGTGTTGCAGCAGAGATGTGTTAGGGTTCCCTTCGTCAAATACAGATCACGTGTTCAGGATATGTTAAACCCTTGCATTAACTCTTGTGTATTGTAATATCATGTCTATTAAAGTGACATTGTCAGCAAAGTGTAATTTTGTATGTTACCTGTAATTGAAGAGGCTGAATACTTATATTTTCAGTAGCCCATTTGTTGTTATGTCGCCTCTTCACTTCTCCACGGCCGCTGCAAGTATACGACCGGCAGATGAGTCGAATACCTGTTTCCCTGTCGCACACATTGGTTCCTCTTGTACATGGTATAATGACCTATGATGTATTGTGCTGGCCGGGAAAGGGGTGGTATATCAACAAATGAAAAAGTAAGTATACAGCCTCTTTTATTACTGGTATGCCTTCATATACAAATGCATTGCTGACAGGGTCACTTAAAAAGCCTATCCTCATACCAGACCTGTAGGATCGCTCATACCTACACGCTAAAGGATATCTAAACCCAAGAACAAAAATTTTATTTATTGCAGCTTACCAGCCCTTGGATGTAGTGGTTGTATTCGTTTTTCTGTATGATTTTATGGTTTCTGCAAGTCCTGGTGTCTACCGAGGGGTATTTGTTTGGTGTGCTTCCTGTTGATAGGACCAGTTACTGCCTTTCTCTGCATTAGTGGGGTGACCAGTCGAGTAAAACCACCTCCTAGTCTTTCAGGCCCATCTCCATAAGACTTATGACATGAACAGGGCCTGAAGGACACCCATGATATGTATGTCATGGATGGGCACAGTCTGATTCCCCCTTCGGCCTTCAGCCCTTGATGGTTTTTAATTTAATGATTTTCTTTGATATTAAGTAAGTTTTTAAAGAAAAATGGTGGCAATTCTGCTGTAAAAGGGAAAGGACATTTTATGAACAGTTCAGAAAAACTTTTTTAGGCCCCTTTTGTGATGGCAATAAATTTGTGTTTTAAAAAAAAAATCTTATACCATCTACACTCGCATACAAATGCAAATACGCATCAAGTGTGCCTACGTGCAGGAACGCCAATTGTGCCACACATTACTTCCCACCGCGAAAGTCAAGTGCGAGCAACAATTGTAGGGCCATCTACCACCGATGACACTAAATTGATGAGGTAAAAGCTATGGACAATTTTGGGTATGGTCGTTTTTTTGGGATTTCATGGGTGCACGCAATTTTAAGGCTTGATATGTTTGTTATCTATCTACCCAACACAGCCCCAACTTTTATACTTCGGCACAAATGTGGGTATTATATTGTGTTTTTGTGCTCTAACATTTATTTTAGTGTATTTTATCCTGCAAATGTTGGTTTGATAAACATTTGCGCAAACACTGTACAGCATAAAAACTTGCAACTAGCATTTTTCTTTATTCTAAATGACCTCTGCTTTCAGGAAATATAGAATTGTTTGGGGGGGGTTTCGAGCCAAAATTTCAGATTTTATCATGTGTATCAAAATTAAGACATTGTTCCAGATAGGAAGTGATGAAAATGACTATTAGCACTCCTACTTGGATGTGGACCGTCCTTGAACTGCAGCTGAAGTTGACTTTAAAAGCTACCCGAATCTTGCTGAAAGCATTGCAAATTCTTTGTACAAGGTTCCTGTACAAACTGATCTCATACACACTGAAGCCTGTGTGAACAAGACCTAAGGGCCTACTGACAATTCTCCGTTTTCATGAAGCAAAACTTATGTATTTTGCTGGATGAAAATGCATCGCAAGTAGGAATCCCATTGTTTCCCATGTAGATGGTTCACATCCATACAATGCAGTTTAGTTTGAAAGGGAAACTATATAGGCCTGATTATCCCTACGCATGTGTATTACCACGTGTGCTGCATGCACATGGCACAGTCTGAATCCAGTATTCCCCACTAAGTGAATCTATTAAATGTTGCTTAAAATACTCCTGCTTGGTTTCCCAACATCCCCAATGCCATCTGTTAGTATAGTATTAGTAGTATTGTTAGTAATGTTTGTCTGCTATATTGTTTCTATTACAGTTGCTTTTTTTCATCCCTGTGTACTTCCTGCCTCCTCCTGGACACACCACTTTCATGATCTGACACTCTTTTTCACGATTTTGTCTTGTATGTAAAATGCACAAACTTTTCTGACACCTCATATTTCCTGAGTAATATGAAAACAATGTAGTTGTGCTTATAGTTAATAATATATCTTTTGTTTTCCAGGAACAGTCAGAGCTGGAGAAGAGAGACCCCCAGGAATTAGTGGGTATGCTTTTTTTTGTGCTCATTATGGCTTTACATATGCAACATTTAGCACTGATAAAAGCTAACAGCTAACAAAATAACTAAATCAGGGTTAGGCAAGCTCCCACCATGAGCTGACATATGAACTTGTATCCAGAGAGTAGATCAGTGAAACAGTGAAAAGTAACATCCACATGATTGGTAGGAGCCAAGGTTTCCCAGCACAACATTGCCTAAAGCATCACCCTGCCTCAGCCAGCTTGCCTTCTTCCCATAGTGCATCCTGGTGCCATCTCTTTCCCAGGTAAACAACACGCACGCACCCGGCCATCCACATGATGTAAAAGAAAACATTCATCAGACCAGGCCACCTTCTTCCTTTGCTCTGTGGTCCAATTGTGATGCTCATATGCCCATTGCAGATGCTGTTGGCAGAGAACATGGGCACCCCGAATGTTCTGTGACTATGCAGCCCCATACGCAACAAACTGCGGTACACTGTGTGTTCAGGTATCTTTCTATTGGAACCAGTATTAACTTCAGATATTTGAGCTACAGTAGATATTGGATCGAACTACACGAGCCAGACTCCCCTCCCCACATGCATCAATGAGCCTTGACCGTCTATGGCCCTGTCGCCGGTTCACAGGTTTTCCTTCCTTGGACCACTTTTGTTAGGTCCTGACTAAGGATGGGCTCGGGCGTGTTCGCAGCTCCACGTACCGAGCCCGCCAGGAAATTACCTTAAATATCCCCCCCACTTCCAGGTGCCACAGTAATGAGATAATCGCTGTTATTCATAATGGCATGGCTGATCAGTAGAGGTGCACCGAAATGGAAATTTCAAAACCGAAATAAAAAAATTGTCAGGCCGAAACCGAAAATGTTTTTTATTTAAATTTTTTCAAATTTGTTTAATATTTAATTTTTTATAAACTTTTTTATTATTTTTGTATTTTTTTACTTTTAGGGACTTCGGGGAAATATTAGGGGTATAAACAGACACAAAGTCTGTATCCCCAGTTATCAATGAACAGGAATCCTCTATCAGTGTTTCTGTTCATTCATAACTTGAACATTGTGTGTTTACTATAACCACAATTATGAATGAACAGGAGGTGATGTATATCACTCCCAGTCATTCATAATTGAGGATATAGTACACATGCCATGTCCTCAATTATCTACAAACACTCAGCGATCACTGAGTGTTTGCTTTGGCTCTCCTCTCTGACACGCTGTCACAGGAGGCTGAGCGAGCGGTGCAGGGAGGAGAGCTCAGCCTCCTGTGACAACGCGGGCTGACTCCGCCCACACACTGCTCTGCCGGACTGTGATAGGAGGCTGAGCGGTGTGGGAGGAGAAACGCCGGCCGCTCACAGCGCTCGGCAGCCTGTAAAATTTTCTTTCCTCCCCGCTGGGACACAGAGCAGCGCCCAGCGGGGAGGAAAGAAAGCAGGGATGCAGCGATGTATCAGCAGAAAAATTGCACTTTCGGCATTCAGCCAGAAGTGCCATTTCCGGCCGCTATATCCGTGCATCCCTACTGATCAGTGTATATCTGAAAACGAAACATTGAAACAATGTTTTATTAACACACACCAATAAGATTATTTACATTGACTACAATTTCCTTTTTATATAATGTTAAATACGTAACATCTGGTATCCAGATCTGTACTGCTCAGCACAATGGGCAACAGGATGCTGAATCCTTTTAAATGACTTGTCTTGTCCAGTCATTTTAAACCGTACTATGATAGAATGACACACAAGACTTCACCTCGGCGGATATGACGGTACCGAGGTGTGTGCAGGAGCTGACACACCCTGCAGCCTGGAAAGCTTCAAGCCGTAGGGCACATTAACTCAGTGTGTGTATATGAACATTTAACTAGTGTAATCCGTCCTGTTCTTACAGGAGAAAGGAGTGTTTGTTTGACATGTAGAGGCATTGCTAGAACTCCAAAGCTCTTAGAAAGTTGGATTAACCCTATTGATAATGAGGTGACCTCCAAAACTTTGTACAGCTGTTATGTGCTAAAACAAATGTCTTCAGAATGTTCAGGTTTTTATGAAATGAGAACTAAAATAATTTGTGCTGCAGACTGCCACTAGTATTAGATGCTTTTCATTCTACATTGAAATCAAGCAGCAGTGTTGTCCCTCTGTGGGCAAGGTAGTCGTAAATAGTAAAAACTGACTTTTAATGTGTGTGTGTGTGTGTGTGTGTGTGTAAAGTCATTTTTTTAAGGGTGTGGAAAGGTTTGTATTGCTGTCTGTATCTGCTGGGGAGATCCAGCCCTTTATTTGGGTGACCATTGTCGCAAAGACAAAGTGAGGGGAGATCCAAAATTACTGAGAGGTCAGCAGAGCAAGAGGTTAGGGAAAATCCCCCTGTTCTTGTGACCTGTCTCTGATGGGAATACCTTTTTTTTCTTTTTGGAGTAATTTCCTTTTAATTTCCTGTTGCATCTGCAGGAGAGGAAGTGAAGGGAAAACGACCCAGGAGGACACAAGCAGCATAATAACCTGATGGGGATTTTAAATTATTTTGTGGCTTTTCATACACTGCAAGGGCCATTTTCACACTGTGAAGTCCGTTCGGCTCAGCAGGTAATGAGTGAACAGATCTGCGGCTGAATAGTAGCTGAACGGAACGGATGTCACTTCTTTTTTTTCTTCCATCTTGTGATGGCAGGTGGATGTAAACAAATGTGCATCAGTTTACCGGACAAAACAGAAAAGGACGCAAACCTTTTCAGTTTTTTGGGGGGTTTCGGACCTAGAAGGATTCGGAGGTAATTGGATGTAAACAGATGCACATCCATGTACATTCACTGAACTATACTCGTGATCAGATCCGCCTGAAAAACATAACATAACTTCAGCTAACGATTTTTAGTCCCTGTTCACACCTAGGTGTTTTGTAGCTCAAAGCTACAAAATGCTGAACACAAGGAATCCCATTGTTTTCTATGGCCCCTGTACTTACCTGAGCCTTATGTTGCCTAGAGCAAAATGCCTGTTACTGGGAAAAGTACTTGATCTAATTTTCTACAGATTTCTGCCCTTTGGGCATAGACTTCATTGGAAATGTGCGACACAAGCGTTTTTTGTGCGTTTTGTTGTGCAATTGCCACGCAAGAGCCAGCCTTCCGCTACAGAAAACACTGGGGAACAAAATGGAGGACATCAAAAACTGAAAAATGCACAACAAAATGCTTGAAAAACCGCTTGACAAGCACATGTCAACGCACGTTAAAAAAAAAAACAGCCTGAAATACTGACGCTTTGGTGTAAATGGAGTGGTAAGAACACTTGACTTTCATTTTGTTCATCCCAACCCTTGTAACTGTCTTTTTTGCTGGACAGCTTGGCCTGCATATTAATGTGGAGAAAATATAAATAAAAGCCTGGGAAATACAAATCATTTTTGATACTGAATACTTTTGTGTGCCATGCACTTTTGTTTGCTCTTGGTGTGCTGTAGGCCTTGCTGCGGCTCTCTGCTCGGACACCCAGTCAATTCTCAGTTTTTCCAAGACTTAATGCCTGGCTTTATGGGATGTGCGGGAGCCTTTGTTCTGACCTCGCTACGTTCTCTGAACAAGCCAGCCTTGCTGTGTGCGCTGTGCCCTTTAGGATGCCCATGAATCAATGACTTTCCTTAGCTGCAGATACTTTCTTGTCCTCTTGTTAGACACTGCTCTTTTGTTTGTCAATGGGAAAGCTCATTCTTAAACTGTACACGACTGAACCTATAACGAAACATTGGTCAATCAACACAATCCCCACTTACCTCTTTGAAGGGAATATAGATTGGTAGCAAAGGGGTTAAAGTATGTCTCATTTTAACAGGAACTAACTCTTAATCAAGTTTATTTAATGAGTTGTGTAGTGTATCTGTGTGTCGTCCAATCAGATGTCACCTTTTATTACACAATTGAAGTAGTCAAATCATGATGACTGCATCTTGCCCACAGATCTTTGTCTTATGAAATTGGTTTATTTTAGTAGCAGCAGAAAGCAATGTACAACTTGTCAAATGGGAACATCTAGTTTCAGTGGTGTTACAGGCCACACAGAGGGTGATTGTTCCCATGCATTGAAAAAGGGGGTGGCGGGTGCAAAAGCCATCAGAGGAGCCAGAGGCAGTTAGAAAAAGCATTGGCGTGTCTGAACCCCCTTCCCCTCCACATCAAAACAGAAATAATCCAGCAATTTGGCAGCACTGAAATGTCATGTTTGTTGTCCCGCATCTGTTAACTCCCTGATAACGTGCTTGCACTAGGTGAATGCCTGTGCTGTGGTATTACTATGCAGTGCTGTCTCCCCTTCCTTATATTTGTTCTCTTTTCCTTTTTGTATTTAGCCTCCTTCTCAGAGAGGGTCCGGAACATGTCTCCAGATGACATCAAAATCCCTCCCGAGCCTCCGGGCCGATGTTCCAATCACCTGCAGGTAAACTGCGAGGACACACCTGCCAACCTGTAAACCAGTGTAAACACAGATGCTTGACGCAGTGTAATCCCATGTCTTATAAAGATGTGCACATCGACTCTATCTCTTCTGTGTTGTGAAGGGAGGAAGGCCACGTGTGACTATGAGGAATGCAGTATGTAGGTGTGAGAGGCCACCGAGGACAGAGACAGCCCATTTGTCTTGGCCTCAAGAGTTCTGCATGCTGAAGCCTGCCCTAAATATCACTCATCCAAATTATATTCTTTAGCTGGATTCTGACTGTGTGCTGTATACTAGATATATAACCCTTGCTCATATACCTTATTTCATTAAACTGCATGCATGTAAGACTTGTGAACACTGTCTTCATGTATAATACATCAAATGATTTATGCCTGTCCCATTGCATTGCCAGACTGGAATCCCATGGTAATATAATAGAGGGTGCTGAATGACATGAGGATGGCACCAGATGTAGAAGTAGTCACTCAGTCCCCCATGTGCAATGCATCAATCCGTCCTTTTATTGACGTCAGATACACATGGCATTGCAAGTACAAAGCAACATTTCTGAACCTAGCATGGTCCATTCATCAGGCAAGAAGCACAGTGACCCAGGTCTGCATGCTGGATAACCCAGTCACTGTGCCTCTTGCCAGATGAAGGGACCATGCTCACTGAGCTTCTTGCCTGATGAAGGGACCATGCTCACTGAGCTTCATGCCTGATGAAGGGACCATGCTCACTGAGCTTCTTGCCTGATGAAGGTACCATGCTTGGTTCCAAAACGTTGCTTTGTACTTGTGATGCAATGTGTATCCAACGTCAAAGGACGGATTGATGCATTGGACCTAGGTTTGTGAGTGACTACTACTTCTAAATGATGGCACAGGCTTGCATTGCTGTAGTATAAGATTGCTAGAGATGTATGTTAAAACCATATCTATGTATCTACCCTCTTGTCAGCTAAAAGCTTAACTTCCGTCAAGCTGCTCAATATACAAAAGATATGAATGCTGTTCTCCCTGCCGAAACATTTGTATTTCTGTCTATTCGTTCCTGAGATTCGCACAGCCCCATCACATAGGACAGTTGGCCTGGAGTCCTGACTTTTTTCATTAAAGTAACACAGCTAGGTCTTGTCCCCGCCCCTCAGTCTGTGACTGGAGAGTGAAGAAGAAGCCGCAGACTGACGAGCTCATCTGTAACTCTGCTCTCTCCTTCGATCAGCATGTCCCTTGTTAGCACATGATAACTGCAGCACAACTGACTGGCTTATTGTGCTGCATCGTCCTCTCCCAGTTGGAACTATTTTAGGGGTCTGGAAAAGATGGATACCAAGGTAAAATCAGGGACATTCAGAAATAATTTAAAATATTTTTAAATGAACAAATACCTACATTTATTAAAGTAAACATGTTATGAGAACTACTGGGGCTGCCATTGTTGGCTGCCTTCTTAAAATATAGTTACCTGGCTTTTATGCTGAACCACCAGCTTCAGTACGTTCAAGTCATCATTATACAGATCAAAAAAATCAGAAGTCCATATGGACATGCTTGTTTTAGATCAATGACTCGGAGCACGGATCAGCTTGACAGGCAGACAACTAACCTTTCAGAAGGAAGAGACCACAATGGCAGCCTCCTCTTGGAATAAAGTCAAACCACCTGTAATTGGTAATAATCTAATTTTTTTTTCATTGAAGTGGATCTGAAGCCAAACCTTTTTTCTCCTGGTTTTGAATAGAATAATGGAGGGATAGAACACCTGTCAGGTTTTTTGGCGTTTTTTTTTGGCCACCTGTTTTCCCTTCACTTCCTGTCCAACAGCCACAACAAAGAGAGGAAATTCCTCCAAAGAGAGGGAAATCCCTGGTGGTCAGCTAGGTCACCAGAACTTGAGTCCCCGTTGGAAGATTTCTCCATCTATTCCTGTTCTGGTGACAATCCAAAATTTGGGATTTTCTTCCAGCGACAGCGGTCACCAGGACTAATAGAGAGGGTGAAGGCCCCATACAGGTGGTCCAATCAGGTCTCCCTGTCAATTTTTCAGGAGGACCTGATCGGATGTCCAATGTAAGTTTATGGGCAGTCTGATCTAAATGGACGGGTGTCAGTTTTATTTTCAGTTGCCCCCCGGCCAGGTCCGGAAGAAGAAATGGAACAGTGTTCCATTTTGCCGGACCTGATCGTGTTGGATCTGGGGTAAACAGGCACAAGTTTGTTTACATCCAATTCCCCATAGACTGACATGTTGCGGCTGTTTAATTTCTTTACTCCGTCGCAACTAAATGAACATCTATGTCACAATGGTGACAGCCAATCTGCAACTCTGACATCAGGAGGGGATCCATGCACTGTTCTGCGCCTTATCAGACAGTGTAAAAGAGGCCTAACGGGCACAGACAGCAATAAAGACCTGCCAGGTGTTCTAATCCCTCTCCAAAGCTACAAAACATTTTTTTAGCTTTAGTTGCACTTTAGGTTACATTGTAATACCTTTTTGCTCCATGTACTCTATAAAATGGCTGAATGTCAGCTGTTAGAGGTGAAAACTGCTCACACCATGAAGTTTGATGGCAGGGAAGAAAGTGCAACGCTTACAGGCACCCTGGGTTATACAAGATCTGGAGAATACTCCCTTTCTTCTTTTACACATCATTCGTACCATCTCATAGGTGTTTCTTCTCCTCAAATCACATTACAAATGCCTTAATGTAGAAACACAGTTACTGATCTCTTTGTGTGTTGAGACATAATGAGTAACTGACTTGTCTGGCTTTATTTAGGGTATCTTCTGTCAGCAATGTAAAATGACAAAGGGGTCTACTGCGTGCCATTCACCACCCAGCTCCTTACATGTCAGCCTCTATACCCCCATAGCTGGTAATTACAAAGATAATCCGCTAATCGGCTTAGTCTGGCCATAGACAAGGGCATCTGATTGTTATGCAGTGTATCAAACCTTTCCGATGACCCCTTCTTTATCCAAATTCCACATGTTTAGGCAAGGCCCCTCCACCCCTAACATCACAAATGAAGTGACAACGTTTTCTAATGTTTTTCCCCCTCCAAGGTGCTCTTTTTTTAATTTTTAGCATCCTTTATGGAGCAAATTGTAATGCGTCTGTCCTCCTAGAGCTATTCCGCTCAGTATACAGCCAGTTTAAGGTAAATGCGTGCTGCATTTTAGGGTTTTGATGTAAAGCCGATTCTAGGGAGCAGAAACCACACGATGACTGATGTTACCTTTTGAATACCCAATTTTGTTTCTCCTGTGCCTCTCTTTGGTTTCACCTTACTACAGGGGCTTAAATGTATTGCCAAGTGCTGTCAACTTCCATTCCAGGGTCCAAAGAGATTGCCTCAGTGACCAGTAAAGGCGTTATCTGAAACAAGGAACTGGATTAATATTTTCAATAGGTCAATCAATTTGCTATATGGCACAGTAGCTCCGGTGAGGCTGTTCTTAACAAAAATGAGGTGTCCCAAAAGCAGGGGCACCAAAATATGAAGATTTACATGTGCAAAGTTCAATAACCGCACCAAACAAAATAACTGAGAGGCCAAAAGCTTTAAATATTGATATTTATAAAGACATCCTAGAACAGACAACGCGTTTAAGCTCTTCAGGGCTTGGGTATGATGAAAAGATTTGAGAACTTAAAATTGTTGTTTAATTGTTTACTGTATGAAAACCAGATATGCTCAGGATCAGTGGCTTGGCAATAACCTGTAAACTCTGGTGACTGTGGCACTTGAGTCCTCAAATCTTTCCTTTTATATATAAGCCCTGAAGAAGGGGAAGATCTGTGAACACCCAAAATGCGTTGGCCGATCTATGTTGTCTCTTTGTGCACAAATATCAATATTAAAAGGTTTTGGACACTCGGACCTTTTTGTTTTATGCTCTCATTGGACTTAACACAAGATGGGCTTGTTCACTTCATCCCCAGATCCAGGCCAGAACATTTTTTTTATCTGGACCAAAAACACATACACATTAATTCCAATGGTAAACATGAGGCTAGTTGACACCATTCCAGAGCGTTTTCAGAAAAAGTCCAGCATGCTGCATGTTTTTTTTTCTCTAGAACTCACCAAAAACGCATGCAAGTGCACCAGAGGGCACTGGAACCTGCTTAAAACCCAAACAAAGCCAATTGAGAACAAAAAAAATGCACTGGACCGCATCAAAAACGCATCCAGATCTGGTCTGGAGATGGTTTGAACAAGCCTTAAAAGCATTCTGACTGGACAGGGGTTTGTGTTTTGGTGATCCTAGCCATCCAATCATCTCACAGTATCAGGGCCCTGTCACACAATGTCCGGACCAGATCGGCACGCATATCTGCAAATGCGGTGGATTTGTGACGTGCTCCAGTGCTGGGTTTTTTTTGTGTGTTTTTGGGGGTAATCTCAATATGCAAATTAATCTCTTCCTGCACCATGTCAAAGCTTCTATTGTGTTGCATTTGTGATGCGTTCCAGTGCAGGAAAAATGTGACATGCATTTCTTTTTTTCCTGCACTGGAACGGACTGGACCGGTGTGAACAGAGCCCAAAAATCACATACAAATGCATTGGGATGCATTTTTGGTGCAAAAGAAAAATATAACGTACCGCATCTGATCCGGACGTGGTGGGAAACTAAATTAGGGCGGGCCACCGAAGAGACTTTTGAGTGCTGTCTGCTCTGAAATGTACACAGGGAAGGTCCACTTTAAACACATTGAGGATCTTTCTAAACGCACGTCTGCACAGTCCTGCCAACCATAGGATTTCGAAGAAGAACTCCGGGCAGAATAAAACGTAACCCTTGCAGCAGGGCTTCCCCCTCACTGTGCTTGTTTTGGTCTAAAATACCGAAGATAGCCCCACTGCAAGGGTTAAGTTTTTTTTTCTGCCCGGAGTTCTTCTTTAAATCTTTTCATGTCTGGTTGTAGGTGCCTCTCCTATTACAGACTTTCTCATATTTCAAGTGTGTGTCTGAGATCTGATGTAATGCTGAACATTTCTTCATATCTGTCAGAATGATGGACACTGAAAAAGCATTCTGTGCAGCATGCATTAGTCTCGCATTATACCCCGCACTTACCCACCATGGTGCAAAGCCTCAATCCAACTTCCAAGGATGCACATCAGTCAGCAGCAGGATGGCAGCACACAAGGAATCTCCTTCAAGTGTTTATTTCAGACAGCAAATTCTATAAAAGCAACTCGCTTACATGTTCCAGCCCCACTGGGTCATAGCATGTGCACCATGTAATATCTTCTTTTCTATATACTTGTCTACCAGCATGCTGGCATTTAGAACTTTTGTCTCTTGGAAAAAATTAGTTGTATAATAATGTAGTTATGTTTATTAAGTCATTGATTTCTTTTTAGGAGAAAATTCACAAACTGTATGAGAGAAAGCTGAAAGAAGGGACAGATATGAATCAGATGATACAGAAGAAGAAAGAGTTCCGGAACCCCAGGTGAGGCTGAGAAACTGAGTCATAATGCTAAGATGTGCTGCCGTTGCTAAATCCAGACCCCAACTGTCCTTTTTTTTTTTTTTAGTCCTGTTTTTGAAAAGGACAGTCATAGTGCTTTTTCTGAGCACAGCGCTATTTTGTATCCGATACTTTACCCCCTAGAGCAGGGGTGGGCAACTCTGGCCCTCCAGTTGTTGAACTACAAGTCCCATGAGGCATTGCAGGACTAACCATTACAGGTATGACTCCCAGAGACATGTTGTTGTAGTTGAAGCACAGCTGGAGGGCTGAGGTTTTCCACCCCGACCTAGAGACTCATTGCTGAATGTGGTCACAGACATATCTGGTAAAGGGAACCTGTCAGCTCTTGCCTTTTCTTTTTTAAGGGCTGGTTCACACCCAATGCGTTGGGGCAGTGCTGGGCTGTTTTATCCCACCGCAACACAAGGCAAGGCAATTTGCCTTACTCCAAAAAGGCTCAGTTCACACGGTGTGATGGTGTGTACTGAGAAAAAGTACGGCATCCAGTACTTTTCAGCACAGCATGGTACATCTGCATCCCACTGTGCTGTGCTCATAGAACTTACTTAAATGTCACTTGTGACATTTCAGTAAAGTTTAAAAAAAAAAGGAAAAAGTGCAATGTGTTACGTTCAGTGTGTCACAACTATGCTGGGCAGGGCTGAAGCTAGGGGGTGGGAGGGAGTTGGAGGGTCATGTGCCGCTTTAGGGGAGGGGGGGGAGCAACTCTGAGCCTTTGCCCTGGGTGACAGAATGTCTAGCTTCCCCACTGGTGGTGTGAATGGGCCATCAGTCAGTTTTTGTCTGTAGCGCCTGGTTCAGAAGGTGTAGAAGGTGTTTATTTCAGTCTGTACTAGCCTTGGCTGTCATTCAGCAGTCAAATAGCCAAGACTCTTCTGGCCATAGAGCAGTGATAGGCAACCTTGGCACACCAGCTGTTGTGGAACTACAAGTGCCAAGAGATATTGCATGACTGACAGCCACAGCTATGACTTCCAGGGGCAGAGGAATTATGGGATTTGTAGTTTCACCACAGCTGGAGTGTTGAGGTTGCCAACCCCTGCCATCGAGTTTCTGGCTTTGGAATCTAAGGCAGGGGCGGGGCTTTGCACAAATAAGGGAGGGGTTTAGTGTTGACTTTGGCTGAAGTCAAGATCCTGTATACTGCTCAACCCTACATTCCAGGCATTGGCAAGATGAAAGCAGTTATTTGCAGTCACCACAATGTGACCTCAGTTGTGTATTATTGTTATCGGAGCTCACTAGGCACAAAAAGTCTGTTTCTCAATTTGACACCTGAAAAGGACATAGTGGTTTGGAGAATGCAAAAGGGGGTTCTGGTGTACAATACCATTAGCAAGAACACCGACGTAAAACGCAGGAGGCCAGGAACAGAATTATCGCACAGCAATTTCCCTGTTGAAGTATCTAGGACATATAGGAAGCCAGGAGCTAATGTGGTCCACCTAGACCCCACCTGGAGTCTTTATACAGGCTGATATTGGTTTAGTCTGGACTGTTCTATGCCGGTATCTTTGTTATAACAAATATTCCTCTTCTTTCCCAGTATTTATGAAAAACTCATCCAATTCTGTTCTATTGATGAGCTTGGAACAAATTATCCTAAGGTAAGTGTAACCTCTTGTGTGTCGTGTTATAGCAGAGAGCACTTTCAGCAGATATTTTACCCATTTTACATTCGCAGCTTGTTTTAGACAATAGGAACACTTACTGACCACAGGGACATAATTGCTTTTATCAATAGCCATCAGATTCCATTGATCTTTACTTTGATGTTTATCTGTTTTGTGCTTTGATATTGATTTTTCCATTCTGAATCATACTATTCATTGTTAACAGGATATGTTTGATCCCCATGGATGGTCAGAAGATTCATATTATGAGGCTCTTGGTATGTCTGTTGTATCATGTTAAAAATTATATAGAAATTTAAACATATCGATTGTGAAGTGTGTGTGTAAAATATATATATATATATATTAGGGATGTACCGGTATTTCAGTATTGAGTACCGGTATTTATTTATTTTTTGGTACTCGCCGATACCGAGTACCCGAAATCCCATTCCGGAAGCCAGGCGGTGTATAATGACTCACCACCTGGCTTCCTGATTAGTCAGGCAGCGTGTAAATTCTCCACCGGGCTTCCCAATTAGCAGGGAAGCCGTCCCCATGCTTCTCGTCACTATGTGACGAGAAGCATGGAGCCAGCTTTCTGGCCAATCAGGAAGCCGGCGCCGTGTAATGACGCGACACCCAGCTTCCTGATTGGCCAGGACGCCGGCTCCATTCTCCCTCGTCATGAGGTGACGAGAGGGCATGAAGCCGGCTTCACGGCCAATCAGGAAGCCGGGCACCGCGTCATTACACAGCGCCCGGCTTCCTGATTGGACGGGAAGCCGGGCCGTGAGTCATTACACGCTGCCCGGCTTCCTGATACAGGAAGTATCGGGCTAGACATCGGAGCATTTGGGTGAGTACGAGTACTCGCCCAAATACTCGGCATCGGCACAGATACTAGTATAGGCACCGAGACTAGTATCGGTGCATCCCTAATATAGGGAAATGTATCAAGTGGAGCAGCTGTGCATTGGCAATGTGCATATTCTCAAATCTTAACTGAACAAATTGAAGAGAGAAGTTGATTGGTTACTATGGGCAACTGCTCCAGATTTTGTCTTCTCCAGTTTTGATAAATTCCCCTCATTGTATTTTTGCTCTTTATGATCAAGTCCTGTACAATTTAACACTTTTTTATATACTTTCAACAAATATGTAAGTGGTAATAAAGCAGTTTGCAATAGCTGTGTCAAATTGGAAGAAGGGGTGGGGCTTATCAGAAAGGAGGCAGGGCCTTACACCAGCACATTAATGGCACCTGAATTGAATTTGTTTTAGTGGCCTGCTTTCATGGCAGCGGTCTTAGAGGAGCTCAGAAGTGGCGCAGAGATTAAAGTGACACTAAACTCAGGAGTTAAATCTTAAATACATTCAAATACCTTCGCTATTATCAAAAATGTATCTTATTTGTGTATCACTCGGCTGTAGATCCTCAAATCATCTCTGAGTTGGTGCGGACACTGTCCTTCCTTCTGCAATGGGGCTACTTTTGTTCCCCATGGTCCGTGTGTGTTTTGTGAAGTAGTCACTGCTCCAACATCGCTCCCGTAATGGACTACAATCTCAATACAAGTTAGTAAACTAAACATGAGATTGTAGTCTATCACGGAGTGAGCTTGGAGCAGTGGCTACTTTACTACACACACAGGGACCATGGGGAACAACAGTAACCACCCTCCAGAAGGAAGGACGGTGTCGGCACCAATTCAGAGATGATTTGAGGATCTACGGCTGAGTGATACACAAATAAGATACATTTTGGTAATAGTTTAAGGTATTTGAATGTATTTTTAAGGTATAACTTCTGAATTTAGTGTCACTTTAATATACATACTGCTTAAACTGAGATGGAAAAGCGTTGTCATAATTGTTTCTCTTTTTCCTTTCTTAGCGAAAGCCCAGAAGATTGAAATGGACAAACTTGAGAAAGCAAAAAAAGAGCGAACAAAGGTAAGTGAAGAGATGCTGTGTCAGAAAAGGAGCAAATATTGCCAAGTGTGACAACTTTTTCTAGTTTAGGGTAGTGCAAGGAAAAGGTTAGAACCTCTGATTTTATGGCCCTCTTTGTCTCCTCCTCACTTCCTGTCCTAGTACACTCTGGTAGGCGGCATTAAGTTATGACATCGTTTCTAACTCTTCTCTGTGCAAAACTCTCTTAGCTAGAACTTTACTAGCGGTGTGTGCAGGGGTGCATGTACTGTATGTGAAGGTCTTCCCTCTCAAGCATTTTTGCCAAGCTTGGGTAGGCTATATACAACCATCATAGCCTCCAATCACCTGGTGCCCAGTCTGCACCAGTTGTGTGGTCCTTGGGGCCCCTCCAGACAGGTTTAGTCCCTTCCAGATTCAAAGCCGTCATTCCCCGGCTGCTGAGGCCAGGGAAGAATCTGCTCAAGCACAATATGTGCTTGACTTGCTTCATTGGAGTGTAAGGGCGACATTAGTGGTCTGATAGACCCCTAATGTTTCTAAAGATAACCTGTCGCCACTAAACTGCTCAGAAATAAGGGGTTTGTTAGCCCACTATGTGATAGCAATAAAGATAAGTAAATACGTTTAAAACATTAAAGTTGCCTAAAATGACATTTTTTTTTTTTTTTTTTAACA